CGAAGGTGCGGTAGCCGAGGACGGAGTTGGGCACAATGTTGCTGTCGCGGCGTGTGGCTGCGAGGCTCGTGGCCTCGACGTGGGCGATAAGCCAGTCGAGCTTGCCGTCCATCTTCGTCAGGCGCCTAGCATTATGTTACTCCCATCGTACTTAAGGGCCACATCCCAGAAATAAGCTCGAGCACCCAGAAAAGTCTCGAAACAGCGTCCGGCGAGTATCCCTCCCAAGGGCCCGACGCGCGAAAGCCCTCCAGTTTCGGTGCTTCCCTGGTGCCCGACACTCTTTCTGGCGGTCAAGCCCAAAGAGCAGGTTGGAACATCATATGCCTAGCAATGTCCTCGTGGAACTCCGGGTTAGAGCCCGCGCCTTCCGAGGGCACCTTGACGACAGGCCGCCCGCGGGGGCCGGGACTGCCGGGAGGCAGGGGCGCGGAGAAGCCCGCGGGCGGCGCCTCCGCGTGCTCCTGGGGAAACGACAGGCACCCAAACCGCTGCGGCAGGTCCGTGCGGCGTCGGCGCGCGCAAAGGTTTGTGACACCGCGTCGATCGTGCGGCCTTGAATCGATCGCGGCCCCGAGCGTTCAAAAGGTGGAGTCCCGTCGGGTCCAGTGGCGCCACCGTGTCCCTCGGTGCTTCAGCGTCGCAGAATTCAACCTTGAACGCCTTCGCCGGCGTCGCCGGCGGGCCATTGCCACACGAGCCTACCGTACTTCCCGGACCTCTCCCGGGGTGCGTTCTGGCCAGAACTTCGAAGCAGATGCCAGCCGAGGCGACGAGCGCTCTACAGGTCGAGCAGCGGTCTCAATAATTGCCTGCCTCCCCTCCGCGTCCCCAGTCGCTCCTCATCCCCGTCAATGTCGATGATGTTCATGTGCTGGGAGTCGACGCACCAACCATCGGGGGTTGCTAAACGTGCCTTTGGCCCAAGGTGCCCGAGCTTTCCTCCATTTTGGGAGCCCCTGGGAGCTCTCTGGGCCTCGTGAGTTGTGCTCTGAAGGCCGTGGGGGCCTCCTTGGAAATCCTGGGGGGACCTTGGGCCAGGAGCACTCCCGTACATCGCTCGGACGTCCACTCCCCGTGCATTTCTAGGCTTCGTGCGCTTCTCTTTCGCAAAATGATCCAGGATACTCCTCAAATGCACGCGTCCGAGCGATTCAGACGAAGCCAGGACGAGGACAAATTCAGGTGAGGATGAATCGAGAACCTCTGAGATCTGGCGGCACAGGAGAGAGTATCGGGTGCCGCGGCCTTCTCTGAGCGTCGCTGGAACGCTCTGAGAGCGTTCCCGAACGCTCTGGAACGGATTTATCCTCCTAGACATCCGACGTCTCAGTTTGTTCGAGGCCCCAGACCTCCCGACCACTTCCCCTGGATCGCTTTCTCGTCCCGAATCGTTTTTCGGAGGTCCAGAGCGAGGCCCAGCGAGGGCCCCGAGAGGCCAAACACAGCGACAACGCCCCCGCCCCGATCTCTTCTCTCGAGACGCCCGAGGCCTGAGCTTGCCCTATAACCCCGCCCGGGCGATGCCGAGCTTCTACAGTCGGGGCCTTGACCTAAGGAACCTGAAAGAAGGAACGAGGCCCCCTTTTTCCATAAGCCAACCTTCGGTTTCCTGTCGAAAACGTAAGGAAAACCTGAGGCAAGCTGTGAAACACTTACGGAACGCGGAGCCCCTCCCAAACGAAAAGGGTTCCTTCTTCAGGGCCCCGACTGTATAGCAACACCCGAGGCCACGCGGCGAAGAGAGCGCTCCGGCGCAGGGCCGCCGCGGGCGGCGCCGGCGCCGCCCCGAAGGAGCCGCAGGGCGGCGCCAGCGGCGGGCGGCGGCCGCCCCGCGGTGCGCGCGCTGCCGCGGGGTCTCGGGCCGGAAGGCGAAGGCAGGGCTCGACCTGCACAGCGGTTGCCGTTTTCCTCTTGTTTGACTACCTGCCAGACCACCCTAACCCAACCCGAAGACCCGAATTTCGGGTTGGGGGGGGGGTAAGGGTTCCACACGTGTTTTTTCCATGTTCCCCGACCCCCCCCCCACTAGAAATCGAGGGCACATCTGAGCCTTCGGGTTGGATTGGGGTGGTTTGGTGGGTGGTGATTGTTGTCGCTGTCCCTCGGTGTTGTCTTCGTCCCGCCGGTGCTGCAAGGCGGCATCGAAACGACACCGGTGCTCGGAATCGCAGATATATGCACAGGTCAGGTCGAGCCCTGGGTCAAGGCCGGAGCGCGCGATGCAGTTTGCAATCAGAGCTGGCACAGCCGAAGAGATGATCAAGCAGGCTACAGGGACCTGGGCCAGCTTTCGCCGGTTTCTTCAGACACTCTTGGGCTAATCGTTCGCGTTGACGCTGGAGGGGCGAACGTGTCCAATGAACTGTGCCAGCTTCCCGGCAAGTTGGTAGAGACACGCTGGCTCAACTGTTCGGGAGGAGGTTTCTTGATCAGCTGCTCGACTGTAGTATGTGTACACGATACGGATGCAAGCACCTTGGCCAGACCCGAGCGTTACTCGTATACTCGTATGTGTTCTGGCCTTTTACTCCAGGCTGACGCCTTGTCCGAAATTGTCGTCTCTGGCATTGATAAGGTTGCTGCTGAACAGGAGCTGGGCGTGTCTCTGGGCACTGATGAGCTGCACAAGCGAATCGGAAATGACTAGGCGGACAGAGCCGCTAAGCTAGGAGCTGGTTTGCAGCCCGATGCGTCGGAGGAAAAGCACCGCCGCGTTGACCAACTCTTGGCGGTCTCGAGGGATGTGGTGAAACTCCCTGCCAGTATCATGACTTTGTTGCCCAGGACGTGCTTGGATGGAGTCCGGCTGGTCAAGAAGCCACCACAGGAGGAGACGAGCCCACCACCTGTGCCCCACGAGTGGACGTTGGTTGGCAGGCCGCCCCGCAGCTTCTGGCAATGTCCAAGTTCTCTGCGCGTCGCCCGCTCGGCGTTGATGCCGCCTAGTGGCAGGTGGACCAGGCACCTGAGAGTCCGTCCGCAGGCCCAGCGGGACTCTGGACATTCGTGCTTGGTGTTGGATTGCAGCGACGAGTCGTTTGTATGTATTTGTTGGCGCTACGGGGCGTTCACGTCCGAGGAGAGCCTCGCAAAGCTTGGTGATCAGTGCAAGCCCCTCGCTCATCCTCACAAGCGTGAGAACTGGAGGAGGCTCGGGAAAAGGACTCCACCCGAAGGTCGGGGTTTCTCTCGAGCCCCGTTCTATTTGCCCAATCAAAAATGTGGACCCTTGACAGGGAATATCAAAGAAAACACGTTGAGTGAATCAAGAGCTACCGATACCGTTACTCCCCGAGCCTCTCCTGGGGTGGTGCGTTCTGACCAGGATTTCGAGCAAATCAAGCCGTGGCGACGAGGGCCTCCCAGAAGGCCCAAAAAGGGGAAACAGAGAAAGGGGTACCTGTAGCGGAACCTGTTCCTCCTCTTACACTTCACCCCGCGTCCTCCCCTCTCCCCGTGGGGGAGCGACGACACCTCCCATCGCTGTGGCCTCGGACTCCCAAACACGACGATCTTGTTTCGGAAGACCCCTATGCCGCTGGTCGCCCGCGCGAGAGAAACGCTGGCGCAGTGCGGAGCGAGAGCGAGCTTGTGCGGCAATCTTCATTCAATCCGAGAAGCTCGCGAGGAGGGAGCACTAGAGGACGAACAAACTGCACAAACATGGACTTTCGGTGCTCCGCCCAGATTTCTCGGATCTGCGCAGGACCCCCTCCCTGGCGCGCGGAGCGCGCCGGTGGCGACGCCGGAGGGGCCGCCAGGGGCTTCGACGCAGATCCAAAGAAATCCGCGAGAAGTCCCCGACATCTGTGTGTATGCCGTTTTTCTTCTCCGAAGCATGGTACGGGGTTGACGAGCTGGGGCAGGAAGCAAGCGGGGCCTGGCGAGCAAGACCCTTTCATCTCGGGGATCTTCTGACCCGGGTTAATCCAGATCCGGGTCAGTCGGGCCTTGCAGGATCCTGGAAGATCCTGCACCCAAACCTGGGCCAATGCGAAGGATCCTGCAAGATCCTGCAGGATCCTGCACCCAAGCCCAGGTCAGTGCGACCCTGGCCCTGCAGGGTCCTGCAAGATGCGGCACTCTGGCTGACCCCCGTTTGCACTGACCCCCGTCTCAAGGCTCCCGACGATGCTGGAGCCTCGGGGCGCTGGGATTGACCACGCATCGAGGGAAGGACGCGCCTGCCGCTGGGGCCAACATCAGCTGCACGCAGCAGTTTTCGTGTACACCCCCCTGCCCATATGCGGCGGCCTCCGAGGTCGGACGCGAGAAAAAGCCCTCCAGCCTTCTGAAAAGTTGTTTCCTGTGTCTTCGGGGAAGGCTCAAACAACTTCTCAGAAAGCCGGGGGACTTCCGAGCCTTCTGAGAAGGCCCGCCCCCTCTCACTTTCCTCCCGGGCTGGCCGCCGATCTTTCGTCCCCTTCCTCCCTCCTCCTCCCCCTCCTGCTCCTCCCCATCCTTCTCCTCCTTCTCCTCCTCCTCCTCCTCCTCCTCCTCCCTGTCCTCCTCGTCCGCCGTACTCCTCCTCCTCCTCCTCCTCTTCCTCCTCCTCCTCCTCCTCCTCCTCCTCCTCCTCCTCCTCCTCCCTCTTCTCCTCTGCCGCCTTCCTCCCGGCTATCCTCCTCTTCTGCACTTCGCCCTGGACTGGCTGCCAACTTTTCGTACCAACCCCACTCGTCCACGCCGAATGCGTGTGGGCGAGCCGCCCTACGACCACCGAGGCAGGGGAACGAGAAGCTGGCCGCGACCACGCGTGAGACTTCCAGCTGGATCTTGGTGGTCCTAGGTCCGAACGTATACGGAGAGGCACGGCGAGGGCACTGGATGAGAAAGCAGTGGATAAGGAACCAAGGGTCTGGAAACCGGTAGAACTGCAATGGTGGACTGGCCATGGATATCACCACCGCCCTCATCCGATACGGAATTCCCCCCAAGCCTCATGGGGGCATTCCTTAAACAACGCCCCCGTACTGCGAGACAACCCGAACTCAACCTTTTTAGCAGTCGAAGCGGAAGTACCGTGGTGACGTTGAGCAAACGAATGGCAAGCAAATGCCCCATGCGTTGTGAAGCATATTCCGTTAGGAATTCGTGCTTGTGCAACTTATACGGAAAAGTGTGCCACACTAGCGTGGGCATGGCTGGCTATCATGGCACAGCGCGCCAGAGGTATCTGACAAGTGGTGCAAAGGCAGCTCGGCAGATGGAAAAACCGAAAGGGCCTGCCAGACATCCCACTGGCCGCGACCCCTGGTGGTACTGAATCGCTCCCCGCCTCGGGAAAATGCGGGCTGCCAACCAACACCAGCTGTTGCTACTCAGCGAATGAACAGGTCTCGACTCCCCCGTCTCAGTCCTCCTCCTCCTCCTCCTTCTCCTCCTTCTCCTCCTTCCCCTCATCCCTCCTCCTCCTCCTCCTCCTCCTTCTCCTCCTCCTCCTCCGTCTCCTCCTCCTTTGCCTCCTCCTTATTAATCCTGAACAGGTTGTTCCTCAGCATCCTCATTATTCCCCAATCAGTGCTTGCACTGAAGGGGTCCTCGCGGATGTTGCTATAGTTGGCGAAAGTGCCTCGCCGACTTTGGTGGCACGCTGGGTTCCCGAGTTCCCGGGTTCCCAGGTTCCCGGGTTCCCGGGTTCCCGGTTCCGGGTTCCCGGGTTCCTGATCATTGGTTCCAGGCCGATGGTTAACTATCGATCTCACTACCGATCTCACTGTCGAATTCATTACGGATCTCACTCCCCAATCAGTGCTTGCACTGAAGGGGTCCTCGCGGATGTTGCTATAGTTGGCGAAAGTGCCCCGCCGGCTTTGGTCGCATGCTGGGTTCCCGGGTTCCCGGCTTCCCGGTTCCAGGTTCCCGGGTTCCCGGTTCCGGGTTCCGGGCCGATTTCGGAAGGCGGCGAGATTCCCGGGTTCCTGGGTTCCTGGTTGATAATCTTGTCGATCAGTCTCACCATCGATCTCATTACCGACTTCTCGATCGATCTCACCATCTATCTCACAATCGATCTCATGATCAACCTCACAAGCGATCTCACGAGAGATCGCATGAGCGATCTCACGATCGATCTCACGATCGATCTGATTGAATCGATGTCACACTCGGTCTCACGATCGACCTTACAATCATCCTCACTATCGATTCCACTCTCGATCCCATAATCGATTTCACAATCGATCCAACTATCAATGTCACAAGCGATTTCACTAGAGATCGCATGAGCGATCTCGCGATCGATCTCACGATCGATCTCGTTGAATCGATTCCACTCTCGGTCTCACGATCGACCTTACAATCGTCCTCACTATCGATTCCACTATCGATCTCATTCTTGATCTCACAATCGATCTCAAGATCCATAGTTCCCTACCTAGGCTCTGCCTAGAGAGTTCTGACTCTCTTAGCGTAAAGGGACTGGGCAGTGGAAAGCGCCTTGGGCGGTTCCCCCGGCCTCCGCCCCGCGGTTCCCCCAGTTGCGCCCCCTTAGCTTAGCTTTGCTAATCTCACCTTAGCTTGGCCTAGCTTAACTTAGCTTAGCTTAGCTTCATATTAGCTTCGCGTAGCTGTAGCTTAGCTTAGTTTAGCTTAGCTTAGACTAGCCTAGCTTAGCTGACTTTAGCTTGGCTTAGCTTAGCTTAGCCTGGCCTAGCTAGCTTAGATTAGCTTCGCTTAGCTTAGCATAGCCTAGCTTACCTTAGCTTAGCTTGCAGCAGCATCGCGCAGCGCAGCATTAGCACAGCATAGCACAGCATAGCATAGCATAGCCAAGCATAGCATAGCATAGAAACAGCATAACATAGTTCAGCATAACATAGCATAGCATATCATGGCGCAGCATGGCATAGCATAGCGTAGCATTGCTTAGCATAGCACAGCGCAGCATATCAAATCATAACACATCATAGCATAGCATAGCATAGCATAGCACAGCATAGCATGTCATAGCATATCATAACATAGCGCAGCAAATCATAGCATATAATATCATAGCACAGCATAGCATAGCAAAGCATAGCATAGCATAGCGCAGCATAGTATAGCATAGCATAGCCTAGCATAACACAGCGAAGCCGAGCGTACCCTAGCATAGCATAGCATAGCATAGCGCAGCATAGCGCAGCAAACATGCGTGTGTCTGTGTGTGTGCGAAGGCGAAGCAAAAGCAACACCAAGCAAACGAAAAAACAATAGCAAAGCAAACACAACAGCCACAACAGCAACAGCAAAAGCAGAGGCAAAGGCAAAAGCAAAGACAAAAGCAATGGCAAAGGCAATGCAAAGCAACAGCAAAACCAATGCGACAGTGTAGATGTAGAATTAGATGTAGGTGTAGGTGTAGATGTGGATGTAGGTGTAGGTGTAGATGTGTAAGTACATGTAGGTGTGGATGTAGGTGTAGATGTAGATGTAGATGTGAGTGTAGTTGTAGATGTAGATGTAGATGTAGATGTAGATGTAGATGTAGATGTAGATGTAGATGTAGATGCATGA